CCTGTGATACATCAACAGGGGGCGGCGGATCTAGTGGCCTTCGGTCTAGCCCGCCATTGTGCCTGGTCTGTGGTTCAGGAGCCTCTTGGATGAATATGGGAGTCCCTTTGGACGCCTCTCAGTGGCCTCTTGGAGGGCTCATTGGTGCATTCGGGAGCCTTTGTCGGTCTTCTTGAGGGCCTCTTGGGGGCTTTTGGGAGGCGTCTTGGGGGCGCTTCTGGGGTCTGGGGGGCTTCTTGGCAATCTTTAGGAGGAAAGCTCGAAGTATCAGTTCGTATTCCCCCTCTTGGGTTCTCTTGGGGACCCCTGGGGCCGTCTCAGGGCCCTCTCGGGCCGTCTTGGGACCCTCTGCCCTCTGGGGGGTCTCATCGGTCGTCTTATGACGATCTTGGGGGTCCTTTGGGCAGTTCTAGAAGCTGTCAAGACGAAAAAGGCGAGTGTGCTAATCCTGTACCTTTCTTTCAGGGAATGATATGATGTTTGCCTGTTGGGGCCTTCTCGGTGGTCCTCTTGGAACACTTTTGGAGGAGGGGGGGTGGGCCGTCGCAAGGTCACAGGTGATTTTTTGCCAACGGACCAAGAATTAAGAATCGCCGGCCTTGTCATGGACAGTTCAAGGAGGTGGGTCTTTGTGGCGAGCGACGCCCAGGAATCAAGCAGGAGTCAAGGGTCGCCATCCCCGCGCTGGGGCCGCGGGGAGGGTGGGTCCTCGTGGCGAGCGGCACCCAGGAAACAAGGATCGCCATATCCGCGCTGGGGCCACGGGGGAGGGGGTCCCGCGGCGAGCGGCACCCAGGAATCAAGGGTCGCCATCTCTGCGCTGGGGCCACGGGGGAAGGTGGGTCCCCATGGCGAGTGGCACCCCTGTGTCGTTTCACACCGTGAGGCACCATGTTGGCGCCCAGGATACAAATGAAACAGTTTGTTTTTCCTCACGGTTTTCGGGGTGACACGTGTCATCCTGGTGTGGTGTCACATTGTGTTGGCCCCATGTTGGCGCCCAGACTACGAGTGCAGCAGCTTGTTTTCCTCAAACGAGTTTCCTGTTACACGTGTCATCATTGCGTGTTTTCACATTGTGTGGCGCAATGTTGGCGCCCAGAGTACTAGTGAGACAACTTGCTTTTCTCATTTGATGTTCGGGATGACACGTGTCACCCTTTTGTGGTTTCACAGTGCATGGGCCCATGTTGGCTCCCAGAGTACGAGTGCAACACTTGGTTTTTCTCACACGGTGTTCGGGCTGACACGTGTTACTCTTGGATGGTTTCATGCTGTATGGCCCCATGTTGCTCCCCAGAATACGAGTGCTGCACTGTTTTTTTCTCACACTGTGTTTGTGGTGACGCGTGTCATCCTTGTGTGGTTTCACACTGTATGGCCCCATGTTGCCGTCCAGAATACGAGTGGAACAGTTGGCTATTCTCACGCGGTTATCGGGGTGACACATGCCACCCTTTTGTCGTTTCGCCCTGTGTGGCACCATGTTGGCGCACAGAAAACGAATGAACAACCAGGTTGTTTTCACACCAGTGTCGGGGGGACACGTGCCACCCTTGTGCGGTTTCACACTGTGTGGCACCATGTTGGTGCCCAGAATACGAGTGAAACAATTTGTTTTCTCACACAGCGTTTGAGGTGGCACGTGTCATCCCTTGTGCAGTTTCACACTGAATGGTCAAATGTGGGCGCCCAGAGTACGAGTACGGGTTGACGCGTGTCACCCCTGCTTTGTTTCACATAGTAAAGCCCCATGCTGGCGCCCAAATTACGAGTGGAACGCTTGGATATCTCATACGGTCTTCCCTGAACCAAGAACCAAGAGACACCATCTCGGAGTCTCCGAGCTGGGATCACGGGAAGCGTGGGTCCGTCTGGCGAGCGGCACCCAGGAATCAAAGGAAGCCGTTCTCGGGCTGAGACCACGGGAAGTGTCGGTCCCATTGGCGAGCGGCGGCTGAAAATCAAGCGCCGCCGTCCTCGGGCTGCGGCCGCGGGCGAGGGTGGGTCCCCGTGGCGAGCGGCGCCTAGGAATCAAGAGACGCCATTTCCAGGCTGAGGCCACGGGGGATGGTGGGTCCCCGTGACGAGCGGATTCCAGGAATCATGCGCCGAACCGAAGAATTTCAAAGATCTGCGTGCGAAATTGAAAAAGAGGGTCTGTCCAGACCTGGTCCGAATTTGAACCAGAATTTGGTGCGGAATCGGCTCTCTTTTGTTTATAAACTGGTGTTAAGCTGCGCGCGACACCTTAATTCAAGTAGGGTCTCCATGGGCGCAGACCAGGAATAATAACATATGACCTTAGACTAGCCCATCCCCCGTCGTGTTTTTGGGCCGTCTCGGGGGCATTGCGGGCCGTTTTCAAGTCATCTCGGGTCGTCGTGCGGCTACTCCTGGGCCCTCTTGATGGTCTCGCCGACTGTTGGGCACTCTGTCTGTGCCCTCTTGGGACTTTTTGGAGGCTCGGGAGGCCCCAGGGGTGCGTTGACAAGCTCGTGCGCCCCCCCATCCCCTCGAACGGCATTTTGGACCGCAGGGGAGGGGGAAAGGGGGAGGGTGGCAGCCAAATGTCTCACACGCCTTGTCACCCCCTGCAAGGGGGGATCGGCGGACTTCGAAGAAGTGGCAGTGCAAGAGCTGTTGCCCGATATTCGTGCACAGTTTTGCCATCAGCATTTTTTTAGCTGCCACGAGTCAACGTCCTCGTGGCTGAATGCTCGGTCGATGCGAGGCCCGTATCATCCGAGGTGCGCTTGTGGTGGACCGGCGGCGCGCAATTAACATACGAATGATGACCTCTAGGATGTCGCCAGGGGGAGATGACTTCTCCTGCGGTGACCTATCGATGCCGCCTGCCAAGCTGGAGGCTCGGAACCCGGGAGTTGTCAGGCCGGTCCACGGAAAGAAGTAGGGCGAAATTGCCACCTGCTCTCACGTTGTCCCCCACCTCTTCTCGTTGTGGAAGAAGCCATGGTCGTTCTGGAAGAAATCATGGCGGGAGTTTTTGTTCCCAATTAGGCTTGCCTGAGGTTTTATTATTCGGTTTGAAGGTTGGCGCCTCCTATTCTTACTTTGCCCGTTGGTCGGATGTTCCTCGGATTCCTCGGGTTCCCCACCCCTGGTGCCGCTTATTGTTACGTTGCCCGTTTCCTGGAGGTTCCTCGGGTTCCCCAGGTTCCTCGGGCTCCTCGCCCCCAGTGCCTCCTAATTTTACGTGGCCCGTTCCTTTGAGGTACTTTTGGTTCCCCGGGTTCTGATCGGGTTCCCCAGATTCCTCGGGTTCGCAATGCCGACCCATGCCAAGCAGTGCCAAACCATGCCAATGCCAAGCAATGCCAATGATGCCATGCCATGTCAAGCTATGCTAAGCAACGCCAAGCAATGGCAAACAATGCCAGGCGATGTGCCCAGCGATGCGCCCGTGCAACAGGATTGCCCTAATTGAGGTCGCGCTGGGTTCATTTTGTTGTGGGTTGGTTTATATTGTATATAAAGTGTTTCAGGGTCGTTGTTCATACCTCGCTGGGGGGTGGTCCACGAGTATCACGCGATTGCGGGTTGTTGTGATGGCCCGTAAAATCCCACCCGTTCTTTTGACGAAGTCTTGGCGTTAGTATCTCGACTGTATTTGATGGCGTGGCATATGGCCCAAGGTTCCCAGCAAGGCTGAGAAGGTGGCTCAAGGTAGCCAATTATGTGCAGACTCGCTTCGCGACTGGTCTCATCTCATCGCATCGTCCTCCTTTCCTCTCAAAGGCAACGTGAGGGGGGGTAGGCTCAGGGGTAGATGCATCGAGCCCCAATCGCCGATTCATCGCCGATAGGGGCCCGACAGCCCACCCAGCCTAGAAACGTTTGGATTCGCTGTCGGGGGCCAATCGCCGATTTATCGGCGATGTATCCCCGATTGCAGGTCGATCTTGCCCCCCAAGCTCTAGGCCTCCTCGATGGGGTCCGAGTAGATGGGGTCGGCGGATCGCGCCACATCGCCGATGCATCGACGATGCGTCTCGACGTGGAGTCCGTGTTTCCCCACGCCGACGTCACCGATGCATCGCCGCCGTCGCCGATACGGCGGCGATGCATTGGCGATGCCGCGCGATCCTTCGACCCCAGCTTCTCGGACCCCATCCAGGAGGCCTCTACAAACCCAGTCCCCCCCGATCATTCCTCAGCACTGCGCATACCGTCGTGCGCGCAGGGCCAGCTCGGGCCAGACCCTCGAGGAGGCAGAGTCGTGGCAGCCTCACCCTCGCAGGCCCCCCCTCCTCCAGCGGGACGCCACTGTGGGCGGACCCTTGCGCGCACACAGGCGCAAAAGGGGCATGCCTCTGAACCAGCCCAAGCCCCGCGCGCAGACGCGCCTGCAACCACAGAACCCCCTCTCCCCCACTGCCCCCCTCGCTCTCTCCCTCCCGCGCCTCCCCTCCTCCCTCGGTTGGGCGCTGTGCCGCCTGTTGTGTCAGGCAGGGTGTCAACTTTGCTCTGGGTGACGTTCGGATGTTGTGTGTAGCCTGGCCCCTCGGGACGACCAGCAAATACTCTAGATATTCGCGCCCCTCCTCCCTCAGAGGGTTGACTGTTGTTCAAAGTTGTGAGTTTCTGGGGCGTACTCGTAGGAGTGACGCCGTGACTCATCCTTCTTCTGTGTGAGGTGCCTGCGGGTAGTTTGCTGCTGCTCTCGTGGTCAGAACCTCCAGAAACCTACCTCAGAGGGTATACGATCGAGCTTGGCTGCGATGATCTCTTCGATACAGTGGAGACCCATGCCGAGAAACACCCTGCTTGCCTCCAGGGTTCCCTGGGCTTATTGGGTTTCGATGGTCTTGCTATGGACAGCGTGACGTTCCCGCAACAAAAATCAATGCACGTCCTGGGGTCTCAGGGTCGGGCTTCTTGTGGGAGGTTTCTTGTGGACTGGCCTCCGCTGTGTGTTCTGGCAGGCTCCCTCTCCTCGTCGCCTCGCCGCCGCCTCGCCAGCGCCGCGCCGCCGCAAG